TAATATCAATGGTCGGCCTGCTAATTATGGGCTACCGATATCACATGGTGAAAATTCCATACTTGTATCAAAAATACTGCGTGGAGTCAAGCTATAATAATAATAATATGAATCTTATCAGAGTTCTGTAAATCGAAGTCAGTTTTTAAGTTACCATAACTCAATCGTTGTAGTACTCGACTTTTGAATACTGAGCCACGAGCTCCAAATGCAGCACACCTATCATGATTTGGAGAGCTCAGTACTGATGTTATCCCTCAAAAGATGTTATTCAATGTCAAGTACACATAAGTCTCTGACTACACATTCTCCTTAGCATTACTACTAATTTTTCTATAAGGCTTGTGTTGTACTGTTAGTCATTTGAGTAGTTGCTCATATCTTATAAACTTGTAATTAAGACATAGTAGTTTTTGAGTGTTATTATCATTAGCTTGGCGGTCATTTCTTCTGAGAAACGTTTTCCCAGGTATTTAGATATGTAACCAGTATCGATTCGAAAAGATCTGTGTCACGGTTCCGAACAGTATTCCATTTGTCAAAGTTGTAATTAATTGAAGCACACGCACTATGGTTTACGGCTTAATGTCCCAAAATACACATTGTTGACCAAGTGAGACGCTTTGTGACTACAAGCCAAGATAACCATGGTCCTTCTGTATTTACTGTGTTTTTTTTTTAAAATATAGTCAAGGTTATGAAAAAGAGAAGACGTTCAGCGAAGAGATACTCTTTTTTTTTATTTTAGTTGCTGTCTAATTAACTTTGTTTCTATATTAGATCATTCTTGTATTACCTGATTAGTTATCTGAACTTGACAAACCTTATGTACACACAAAAATAGTGATACAAAAATGTGATTGTACAGATATGTGAATGAATTCGCCGGAAAGAGTTTTTCCGTTGAACGTCTTCTCTTTTTCATATGACTCAATGGGGCTTTTTAAGCTACTTAAATAGTCAAGATCGTTTGTAAAGTGATTATGAAGTTTTATACTTTCCCACATACACTTTTTAATCTGCGGTACGGACTGAGAAAATGAGAATTGGCTACGTTTTTCGCACGAATACAAACACTCATAGTGGTGAAAATAACAGTGTAAATACTTAAGAATGTTTTTAGTAAGGTGCATGAGCCGAGTATCTGGCTAATCGAATTACTATTCACTATTATTAATGCTACTTTCTTATCCAGTACTTATTATTATTTATTTCCTTCACGTTCCCAGTGTAACATAGGGCTTCAAGCTGGCGGCCTGAATTTTCTGTAGCAGTGGTATTTATTTTTACTAGATAGGGTTGCTAGCCACATGCCCAACCTACCGTATCTTTATCAGTCTTATTACTGGATAAGTGAGGTAAAAGAGTGCGTCGGCCGGTGATCGAACCCCGGACCATGTGCATGGTCGGCGAGCTTGCCAACCGTTGCGCCACAGACGCAGTACTATTCATCCATTAAACATTAATCTGTTGTAGAAATTATCTAATTTAAAAAACTGAATTTTGTTTTATCACTTCGTGCATTCATTATAACATTGTTCTGTCAATGAAATCGAATGGAGAAATGTTTATACCTATACTAGCAAAATACACACCTAAACCTTAGTCTGTTTGAATTTCTGATCGTTGTATATTCTTAAGTAGAAGATGGATGATTGTACTATGTAGCGTATTATACCCCGTATTATATTATTTGCTCAAATAAACCATCCAGCTCAGAGAACACAACTTCATCAATAACAACAATTATAAAACCATAAGAGTTGGCCAAGTATTAGGCGAAGCAACGCTAAAATAAATAAAAAACTGAACACAACTGCTTGACTATCCGTTTACATGTGAGGACTGGTACTGATGTTGATTATAACCTTGAGATTGTATGTTTTAAAAGTAATCATAGCGACAAATGAGTCTACAATTCTTCATCTGAATCCAAAGCGAGCTCGTTAAACAAATTGAATTGTGTTACAGGATTTCATCATTAGCTGACATTAGTTAAAGAACCATTGGAAAACCAACTGGGAGTACCGGACAGCTGTTTCGTCCTAGTTTGTGACTCTTCAGCAGTACGCACACACTGGGATTCGAACCAAGGACCTTCTGGTTACAAGGCGAGCTCGTATACCATTAAGCCACTGGGACCCGATCCAATGGCCAGTCCATGAATTTTAACTTCTTCCAATTCACGACATAGCGCGACCCCTAGCCAATGTCTTCGGCGAGTATTTGTCCTCACACCCAACCTGCTGCACCCTACTGGTCACGACTTCTCACTAGAACCCCAGGTAACTACCTACCTGAATAGGGCAATTCGCTAGTGAGCATCTTATTGATATTCAAGTGTTGGTTTGTAGGGATTTGATTGGTTACAGGATTTCATCATGAGCTGACATTAGTTAGAGAACCATTGGAAAACCTTGGAGTGATTTCTTTTCTTGCAAGGTGTCATATTTTCTGATTATGGGTTTCGGATGAGGTTAAAGCTAGGAGAAAAAAAGGCATTCTCCAGAGTTTCCTAAATTTGCATTCAACTAACATATATATGCTGTCTAATAATTTATATGAAATATCAACCAGTCCAAGCATAAAGATTCATCCAAAACAATCGAACCACAGACATCATCCTTTATAGGTTTCACTGCTGACATTAGTTACTCTGTTTGCCTAACGTGGAGCGCATCTGTAAATTGGAAGGAACCTATCGTTTTTGTCCTAGAATTAAAACATGTATCAGTTAACGCTGTTAGGATACAGATGGACTTTTGTGGAACGAAATTGCATACTTGGATTATCATTATTAAACACAACAAGGTAGTGTAGAACCAGTTGGCCGATTGGAGAAATAATACTTATTTTGCATTTTTCCGTGCTCCATTAAGAGGTAAGTGGGTGTATATACTTAGTCAAGTCGACTGAAAAAGCATACTATAACAGATGACGGTACTATGCTGAATGTTGTGTTTGAAATACTGTCGTGTCTTGATAATAATTCCTAGATAATAAGTCAAACCTAGTGAGTTTGACAGCCGTATATAGTCACTAATCTTCACAAGGTGAGTGATCTTTTACTTTTTATACTGACTGTATACGATAGATAAATTATAAGTTTAGTAGACTCCATAGTGATACAATATTATTAACTGCACTTACTTTAGCCTGAGCATCTGGGTACTATCGTCTGTTCATACAGTAATTGTTACTATCTGTCTGTTTTCGACATAAAACTTTGCTATCACGGGCAGTTGAGTTCTAACAACTACTGAGCGACTGGACTGGTTATAATATATCATAAAATAATGGGCAATAAAATGTACCAGGAAGGTCGTGAACTAAATAACAGTATGATTGATGAGGTTGTCAGATGGCTAGGACCTTAGTTACACATATCGCGGGGGCCGCCATCCTCCTTGAGCAATGTTAGCTGATATACGGCTACGTTTGGAAAGTGTTAATAGTCAAATAAAAACATAGCATCAATCCATGGAGTCTTTGACTGTTGGTTTGAGCCACGTAGGCTGATGTATACTGCCTAGTTGGGGTCGCTGAGACGCTAAGAACCAATGACTGCAGACCATCTCTGTTATGGCTCAGAGCCGTTCTCTCAGTGACGCAAGTGCATCCACGCTTTGGCTACATAAACGACCTGGTACAGATGACGTTGCTGTCAAAATGCCTTGAAAAGGCCACGCATTCATAGCCTACCTCTACTGTACCACGTGAGTCCTATTCACTGCCTTCAGGCGGCGCGAATACTCTTCATATAGTGGAAGGGTGTAATGAGAACGTCTGGAGCCTACAACCGGACTGGTGAACATCCACGTCTGCCTAGTGGAGCTGAAAAACCCTGATTCCAAACCTATGAGGTTCATGGGCTCCAGAATCAGACAGGATCGAATGGAGTGTGGACCTGTCTGCGTCACCAGCAACTATGAGAACTTAACTGCTGATCCTGTTCCACTGCTTTTCTGATAACATACACATATAAATTGATCCAGGATCTTGACAACCTATAAAATATATCCATCTCACTACCACTGTATTTTAGTAAAGCAGTAATAAACATAACTCAAACGAATAGCACTCCTTCTCACACAACTGAGGCCGTAAAATACCTTATACCCTTTCAGATGAGTCACATTGGCATTTGAGACAACTCTTTAAGTGTTGTGCGACTTACTGACGCAACCGCGTGTGTCTTAAAAATCAATAACCTCTAAACAACTGAGTAAAAGCATATTCTATGACACATCAAGCATAACAACAACCTAAGAGACAAGAAAACATTCTCATTGAATGACTAAGCTATACTTAATTTTCATTTTTCGAATACAGCACAATTATTTAGCTAGGGGTCGCGCTATATCGTGAATTGGCAGAAGTTAGAATTCATGGACTGGTCATTGGATCAGGTCCCGGTTTCTTAATGGTCTACGAGCTCGCTAGCCTGATAACCGGAAAGTCGTTGATTCGAATCCCGGTGGGTGCGTACTGCTGAAGAGTCACAAACTAGGACGAAACAGCTGTCCGGTACTCCCAGTTGGTTTTCCAATGGTTCTTTAACTAATGTCAGCTAATGATGAAATCCTGTAACCAATCAACCAAATCCCTACAAACCAACACAACACAATTATATTATCCATAGTGAATGCATATTGAAGCTTGCGCTGAAGATGTTGTCTATAAGGGACAATGAAAGCTTTGCAATTCTAAATCGCCTAGCCCAGAGGACGTAACCATATATCAAAATAGGTAGACACATTAATAGTTTAACAGTGAATACGGATGCATCCACTTGCTAAGTATAAAGTTAATTAAAAAGACTAATCGAAACCATATTGTATTGAAATAAATACAAGGTATATTGTATATTATATTGACATTTGGAGTCATCACATCACGATGGGTGACTGACTGACTGACTAACAGTGGTGTGTGTCAAATCGATCTGAAATTGTAGATGTAAACACCTACAACACAATTAAAGCATACAGATGAATTAATCAAGCATAATAGTTTAAGTTGGTGCGTTTTTTTGCTTGTACTTCTAGTATAGCATCCATATAATCTTCATGTATTACTTCTGAGGCTCCACGACGTAGCGCGATCATACCCTATAGTGAAAATTTGAATCAGATAAATATTACAGAACTAATGATGACACATCTTGTAATGAAAAATTAAAAAAAAACAATTAGGTATTTCCTGTTAGAGAGCAGATTCTTAGAGCTAAAGATTTTAGTTAGTCATAGTAATGAGCTGAAAACATTTATTTCCCGATACGAATTTAAAACAAGCAATAAAGGTTAATAAAGCAGGATTTAATGAATTCATCAAATTTCGGTAGAAATCGTCATCTGAATACTCTACATACTCGGATTTATATATACTTTTGAAATTACATTGGGAGATATAAGACTTATAAGTAAATAAACTACATTGAATTAGTCATGCAGAAAGACACGTGCGAATGTTTTCCAGGTCATGTTCAAATAGATTAGGGGAGAGGGAGTATGAGGGATCAAAATTAAGATAAATTGCATTACGCTTCAATTACATCACTTAGATAAACAATTAGACATTAGAGAATATATCAAGAATTGCTAACAGAGTAATACCAACAGTAATAGTTATAATAACAATAATAGTAATAGTGTTGAAGTGAGTTAAGATAATGCTACTGGTGAATGATAGTTTTAAATAAATCAAGAATAGTAATAAAAATTAGAGGTAGAATAATAAGTAAAACGTATTACCATGGTAGATTCAGAGTTACGACCATCTCCTTTTGTACACAGAGACCTGGTTTATGAATTCGAATTGCACAAGCCTCTGCAATTGCAAGCATCTTGTTTATTTGTCTGCTGACAATAGTGAATGACTTGATAGCGTCGACATCATGTCCATAACCCACAAGATGTTTTGTTATTGAGGATTTTGGCACTTTGCACTCAGCTGTTTCCAACCATTTTGGCAAATGCTCAATCATGTGAGTAGACAATCGCCTTTCTGTACGACCTATGTATTTGCTTCCACAAACACACTCAAATTGATATACGCAGTTTGAAGTGTTGAGGATTGGTGACTGGAATTACCCAGATTGTTGAAGCACTCGCTTAGTGGTGTTAAGGATAACAAGTTTTGCAGCATAAGTTCTCTAGTTCTACCGAAATTTGATGAATTCATTAAATCCTGCTTTACAGTAACGAACGTGTTGAAGGTGAGTCATGTTTTAGGATTCTCACTCACCGAAATATCACAGATATTATTTGTTCATCATAAACACTGGATATTATCAAGTTGTACAAGAAAGGAAATTTCTGACAATAAATGACCGTTTGAAAAAGACACCAACACACGATTTGTGTATTTCACTAATTAATAACGCACTTGTCTGACAGAAATTCTCAACCGAGGATTTTAGAACAACTGCCTTGTGAAAAAAAAACTCACAACACAGCGACTACTCCCATAATTACTTATCATTATTATGTAGAAGAAACCCGATGAACTCACATAGCTAACATAATCTTTCTTATTCAACATTTTCTGTCGTATACTTAAAACCACATAAGTCTTTTAGGCGGTTACATCTCAATTTTAGGATAGGACAAAAATAGGTGTGCACTAGGTTCTCCCTTCATCACTTTTTTTTCTTCCTTCACATTCCTAGTGGAACATAGGGCCTCAAGCTGGAGGCTTGAATTTTCTGTAGCAGTGTTTAATTTTACAGGACGGGGTTGCTAGCCTCATACCCAACCTTTCCTCTTTACCCGTCTTATTACTGGTTTAGCGAGGTAAAGGAGTTTGTCGGCCGAGGATCGAATCCCGGACCATGTGCATGGTCGGCAAGCGTCCTAACGGCTGTGCCACCGATGCACCTTTATTACTTTACATCCCTCAAACGTTAGTGTTTCCTTAGGAAGCCTTGAATTGTATCAGTGCAGTAGAAGCGTACAACATATAAAAGAAGCTATTATGTATTATTTAGGCTTCGTTCGGTGACTCCTGAAAACTAACATTTTCAAGTATAATAATTCTGAAGTGAGCAAACGCAGGAACCTCATAACTAAGTACATTTGCATTATCCATAAAAACTACCTGTCTATGTGTATATTTAACAAATGGAAATAACGAGTGACTTACTGCTTCAACACACACAGCTTTACATTGAGCACCGTTGAAGTCGTCTGTACACCGAGCTAATTCCTCAAAGTTAACATCTTTGCTAAAGTGAAAGATTAGTCGGGGGATAAACAAAACAGACTACTTACTCAACATTCATTTTACGAGAATGAATTTGCATAATTCGAGCACGTGCTTCTTCATTTGGTGCTGGAAATTCAATTTTCCGGTCAACACGACCACTTCGTAATAAGGCTGGATCTAAGATATCCACACGATTTGTTGCTGCAATCACTTTGATATCATGATTCGGTTGAAAACCATCCAGCTGATTTAACAGTTCCAACATTGTTCGTTGTACTTCACGATCACCAGCTTTTTCACTGTTAAAGCGTTTTGTGCCTAAGAGAAAACAAATAGACAAAGAGATCAAAAATGTCGTTTTAAAAAAATTTGAAAATCGTAGTGCGTTACACGACGAAAAAGGATAAACTAAGCAAAAATGTGATATTGCATTTGAGATGACTACATAGGAGAAGGCTCTAGACGTAGATAGGTATGGAGCAAATAACAAAGTACTGTCATTAAATTGCTTATCTTAAAAAATAAACTATAAATAAGTTGGAGCGCAGCAGAAATGATAAACGAACAAGTGGCAAGATAGGCTTCATAGGTATGAAGATGGAAAAAAGATAGACTAATCAGATGAAGATTACCGACATTTCTCATAATCTGCAAGATCATGGTGACTGTATACATAAACGGTATTGTGAAAGATTTATTTATTTTATTTTCATTTTTGATTACAGCTTGATTCCACACTGTATTTTTGGTACAAGTATGGAATTTTCAGAGTGGATATCGATAGCCCAAATTTCGCAGGCCGACCATAGAAATCGGGTGTGCGTCGGCGAGGGCTCCAAACCCGGACCATGTGCATAGTCGGCGAGAGTCCTAACCACTGTGCCACCGTCTGAATTTCCAAAGCAGAACTTTACACAAAAATGTAATAATTCAAGTTGTCACACTCCGTATCGCACAGAAACGCAGAGAAAAGAAATCTACTAGAACTATAATGATGAAAGATAGACAGCTGGGAAAAAATGATTACATGGAGGATAACGGTAATCTGATAGATCCAAGGGTTCATAAAGAATAAATGCGTTTGTACCACTGAGAACGATTCTGAGCCATGTCGCCAAAAGACTACACTCATAGGATCTTGGCGTTTCAAAGAACGCAGTCAGACAGCCCATGCCTTCATAGGACTGCAAGCAAACTACTGTCTCACAAGCAACTGAAACTGACATTCAAGAACTTCGTGGATTCCTGTTATATTTTCATGTCAACACACTTAACTCTTCTTCAGCCTACACTGACTTCATCTGACAGTGCTTGCCGTGGGCTGATAATGTGCCACTCCATTTTTGACCAATACATCCCTACTGAAATTAATCCAGATAAGACAACTCGATAGCATTACCAGCATTCATACAACAACTGTTTCGTCTAGTTAGCTACATGAAAGATTTATTCCAGGTAAATGAATTCCTTAGGTTTGTCAGTGAATCCTTGACTCAGCATAAGCAAGATGTATCCTAGGCACCTGAATTTCCTTACTTACTTAAGGTTACACTTACACTAATTATTACTGAACATTCTGTTTCACCTAACAGGATAAAATGAATGAAGACACTTAAGTCGATGTCTAAGAAGTAGAAATCGACCAGAGTTACCCACTTCAGTACATCTACAATAAAATGAAATAAATAATGATAGTTAGTACCCCTGAAGTACACTAATGGGTGTCGTCACTACAGGTGATAACTCTCCATAGGTTTTTGCAGAACTGTATGAGTTTGAGTAGATTGCTTTTTCGTATCCACCCAATATACTTTTCCAGTAGTCTACTGTAGGTATATCTTTGTTCCATAAACGACCTGCCGAGAGGTAGAGTTTTATGATATTCTGGTTTTACAGAAAACTGTATTACTAGTGACAGACCACTTCAGGCTACGTCGATGAGTAGAATTTTTAAAACTGACCTATTCTGAGGCTTTCTTGAACTTATTGCGTGTAGTACAGTTGGTTTGGTTTTAGCTCCAGAGGAACACGTAACCACTGTCACTATTATCTAACAGCAGTATGAAGATATTAAGCACTGCCATCACATCGTGAGCAACCAATCCTGCAATGCCAACTGATTTCTATCTAATCACTATTTAGGTGTAGGAGGGACTTGAGGAGCAATCGTCCCAACCAGTACAGCTCACTGAACCATTGGGACATACAATCTAACAGCCATGTCAAAGTGACAGATAAAAGCATTACTCTTTTGTTCGAAACTCTACGTTATCAGTCAAATGGAGCAATTAAGAAGATAAAACAGTAATATTATTGGTTTCAACCAAGAACTTGGTATATGTGAGACAAGAAATACGAGCTTTGATTGTAGTTTATAAATTACTCAGCTTTTTCAAGAATAACTATCACAATAAAAAATGAACATAGTCAAGCTCTTTCGAGTTATGAAAAATCCCAATGTCATGTTATTAGAAACACAAGTCAGCACAGAGATCTCTTCCTGTAACCTCACTTCAAAGTCGCTTCACGATACACTTGACCCAAGCGACACTGATACAAGTGTTGACTTGTTCAGGGACCAAGTATACTTTTTTCTACAATCTAACCAATCAATAATTTAAAACTTGATAAGTTGTAGTCACACAGAGCTACTTGCTGCCTTATTTTCGAACACTTCGCTTAAAAGACCAAGAGTAAGCATTTACATGAATAAAATTCGGTTCTACAAACTCTATAAAAACAAAAATTTTGCGTTTACCTACTGCTGTGAAGAGAACAGTATCGTAAACGAGAACAATAAATGGTGACCCCAATTAACATCCTCTTAACACATGATCTAACAACTAGTTTGATAAAATACAGAAGAATTTTGTGTTTAAGAATGCAAGAGAAACTGGATACTCAAAGCCATGGATGCTAAATAAGTACAGAAATCTAAGCGATCAGACAGCCCATTAAATTTTGAGATACTTTAGTTGGAAAGATAACTTCCGTAGACGAAACTACTATGGTACACATCAAGAATGGAATGATTAATAGTGAATGTTGAGAACGCATCTATGATAAAATCTTAAGTAATCTTTGTAACGAGGTTCTCCTAAATGTAGATGGAACTACTTATCAAAGCTAAAATATGATGGAACCAGGGCTATTTAGTATCCAAACATTTGCTTCTTGACACTTCTCCTGCAATGCAGAATACACAGTCTTATTTTAACATAACCACCGTAATTGTACCATATTATTAGCCTCACATGGCTTATATAAATAGACTTTACAGATAGCATGAACATTTTTTCAAGTGCAAACATTTATAGATTTATCTAGTAGTGATGTTGAAGGCGGTTCGCTACTTTATTCAGCAATATATATATATATATATATATATATATATATATATATATATATATATATATATATATATATAATGTACCAGGATCTATTAGACTGAGAACATCAAATCTGCAAAAGTGGTAAGGGAACAGAACTTATAACTATTAGTGGTGAATATCCACAAAAATTAGGTGAGTGCCATGTAAACTGTTGTCCTACTGTTTTAGCTACCGCCTATTCATGAACAACAGCTTGAAAATCTACTTGCAAACTGAAATGCCTTGTTTCGTTCAGGTATACTCAGATATAAATTTGATACTATTCCTATTAAGCCGTTCAAAGTTATGAAATATTAGTACCTTGGGGTCAAAAGTCAACACATGGTGAATAAGAAAAGAGAGACAATAAGAATAAAACTTTAATCACAATGCAAAATGGAAATCAACTTCTTAACATCAGATTACTTACCGATTGCATCAAGTTCGTCAATAAATATGATTGCTGGAGCTTTTTCTTTGGCTAGCTGGAATGCGTCTCTGACTAACTTTGCCCCATCTCCAATGAACATTTGAACTAGTTGAGGACCAGCGAGTTTTAAGAAAGTGGATTTGGTCTGCGCAGCACATGCACGGGCTAACAATGTTTTCCCCGTTCCAGGAGGACCGTATAACAAAACACCCTTAGGAGGTTGTATACCAATTGCTTCAAAACGATCACGATGTGTCATAGGTAGAACAACAGCTTCAATTAATTCCTTTAAAAGATATTATGTGACTGTAGTAATTACTTGTATTTGTTTGTCCAGACCACCAATATCACTGTATCTCTCAGTAGGACGTTCATCAACTTCCATAGCCTTTACTCGAGAATCGAATTCGGGGGGAAGCTTCTCGAGTATAAGATACGAGTCTTTATGTACACCAACTAAATCGCCAGGTTTCAACTCTTCAGGAGGTACAAGCCCGATAACTGGGAGAAAGTAGGTCTGCCTTGTGCTTGTCTTTATGACAGCACATTTTCCTTTGCGCTGCGAATCAAGATCCACATTCGCCCCTTCCTCAATTTCATCTTCCTGCGGTTCTACATCTAATAACTAAGGGTGTTATAATAATAAGGGCAGTACCTCGACAACGGTTGCCACTAAATAGGGCAAAGCCTTGTTCATTTTGATCTTACTTTTGCTGTCTTTTACTTTTGCTTGTTTCATCTTGATTTCATGGTCAACGTGATGCAATTCTGACTTCATAAACTGGATGAATTTCACAATATTCATTTAAGACACTGACTTACGCGAATTTCAGCATCAAGTAACCTTGCCCTACTTGTCAACTCTTCCGTTGACATCCGCATAACCTCTTCCACCATGGCTTCCTTCATAAGTAACAACAATGATAAACTGATTGCTTACATCAACATCATCCCATGTGGTTTTTTCTATTGCTGATGTCATGATGGTGCAAAAAATTTATAACCCGCTCTTTCTTAGAAGGTCGAGTATTTCTACACTTAAAATGTTAGATTAAAGATTCAGGAAGAGTAGACCTGAGGTCTGCATAAGTATTTTTATTAGTTTTGTGGTGACTATCTTGCCTTAAGTAAATACACCAAAGGTTATGAAAAGGCATGTTTGTGTATGAAGGATCCTTACGATAAGTTAGACAAGCAAAAGATCAAATCACGAAGTAAACCTATACTTGTGGTTGTGTGTACCGACCCCCTTTATCCAGCAGGGAATATGATAATATGCTCAGCGACATTTTTAGTGTTGCAGCCAATCCTCCCTTTAGTTATAAAATTATCGGAGGTGGTTTCAACATGCCAGAAGTATCATGGCCTCCACTCCGGGGACCCCAAAGGTATGATAATCTCCTGAATTCCATCGTCACAGAGAGGTGGACTCAACACATAAATTCACACACTAGATCCGCAAATATCCTAGCCCTTATTTTTATGAACAAAGTAATATTACTACAGTACATGTGGGACATGAATTTCTAGGTAGTGGCCATAAAGTAGTAGTGTTCTATTAACACCTTTCCTGAAACAAAACGCGGAGATGAAGCCGGTCAGATACCTATAAGATTGTACACACATGCTGACTGGGACTTATACCAGCGCCTAATTGGATGTTACAATTGGGATTAGTACTTTTTTGAACGAGACCTTAGAGACAATTCTTAACAATTTCTATCACAATATCAACTCAATTCATGGTGTTATTGCGCCTGAGAATATTCTTAGTTTGAAGCTCCCCCAAAGCGATTATATTCCGACATCGTTGAGGAGAAGTCTACGAAAGCACTCAGTAAAATACTACAGACATCACGACGTATCATCATTAATTGCTCTTAAACCCCTTCTCACTAGAATTCAAGAGTTGAAAATATAAGCCTCAGAAACAAAGAAATGCGGGCCATCCAGTCACCGCACAACCCAGAAAAGTAGCCAAACTATTCAAAAGTAGGTTAACCAACTCCAGGACAGCCCATACAAAAATAATATGCTTCGATGGCATTGCTTACGAGAATACAGAGGTTATATGCAAACTGGTTGGTAAGCACTTTGCCAGGTCAACCCCTTAGAGAACAATCAGGTCGTGGATTTCCCACATAAGACAGACGAATTTACAAGTGACATACTTTTCACCACACAAGAGATCGATAAAGCTGTCGCAAGTATTAAGCTTAGTAACACTCTTGGTCCAGACGGTAAAGCTTCCATTCTGCTGAAGAACATTGGTGAATTTACTCCTACTCAAGTTATACTCAATTTCACTAAGCGATGGGACACACCCTTACTACTGGAAGAAGTCCTATATTGTACCTATCCATAAGTAGGTGTCTATAACTGATATCAACAACTACCGCCCCAGCAACATCACGTCTGTATTTTCACGTGTAACGGAAAAGGCAGTAAGGACTCAAATCATACTTGCCGTCAAAGGACCTACTATTCCCATCCCAATACGGTTTCTTAAGTAGAAGGTCGTGCATTGCCTGTCACCTAGATTATTTTGGCATTACACAATGCATAGATAGTGGGCACTCAGTAACAACATTATTTCTGGACGTTGGCAAAGCCTTTGATAAGTCCCACATATCAGACTCCTAAAAACTCCAATCCCACGGAATAATAATAATGTATTCTCATTTTTTACATGAGGGATGCCAGTTTACAGGCATCATCAACATGGTAAATTACATTTAAGATTAGTAAGCACATTTAGTAATCACAATATAATAGGGTATATATTTGTTCATACCTATGTAAGACACACCAGTTGTGCAGGCATGGATAAGTATTATTTAAATTACATAAATTTGATTTATGGTTGCTGTCTTTTTGTCTTTAGTCTGTAGGAAAAATCTGATAATTACTGATTCAATGGACCACATCAAAAAATATGGCAATGTTGACTTTGCATTAATAAAAAACCAAGAATGTGTCGGGTGGATTACAGATACGTGGGAAAAAAATAAAGCTTCAAGTCATTTCCCTCATATAATAATCAAATGCATTTTATAATAATGCATTTTCACTTTATGCACATGAGGGACTCCAGTTAACAGGTATCATCATTATGACAATAATGTATACATGGATTAAGCATGTCTACAATTTTTCACTGACACAAGATATATATACAAGGGAAGGTAATGGAATAATGACAGTAAGCACACTATGCATAAGTGTTATATGATATAATGCCGGACACCATTATTGTTTGAATTTGTCGAAAATGCGTCTAACAACTAACAACTAAGTGTTGCTTCACATTTGGTAGATATAGTGGTTATTCACAAAAGTATAAAAAAGGTTCGTAAAATGTTAGTTAGTTTACTGACAACAGTGTTTTCAGCAATATCATCTTCAAGAGGCTCACCAAATATGGCAGTATCCAGTTGCACATGCAGAGAAGTAATATTGATGCAGCAACCGGAAGATTTTTGAAACTTTTCGTTAAGGAACCAGGATGACTGCGAGCCAATCCGTACAAAAAGGCGAAAGAAGCATTCAGCAACAGATCATAATCACAGCGTGAGCTAGTGGGATTCGAAATCCAAAACTGAGTGTCACACAAAAACACAAACGATAAATGTCCAGCACTTACTACCCTGGACCTCTCGCTGTCCCTCGAAGACCTTCAGAAACAGTTTGTATTAACCAACGCGAAAAACTAGAACACAGATTGGCGACTCGAGAATCCTTTATTCTTACGCCAATATGTCACCAACAATAAGGTTATTATACACAAGGTCTAAGAATATGTGTTATAACAATAAATGACGGTAATACTTCTGATAGTTTTCTCTCTTCCACTGAACAGAGAAGGATGAGACGATGACTGATGGATGGATGACTCCCGTGAAAAATATGGAGAAGTTGGGTTTGAGCAAACAACCATGAATTGATCGTTCAATCTTCAACTACATTGACACTCCCCGGCAAAAAACGGATCCATCCCTTTTTCCCATCACGACCAATACACATTGACTCGGATGCCAGTGCGAGAACCTGGGCCGCTCGGACAGAGCTGAAATGGAAAACAAACAGCAAAGCCAACACACCACAAGCATACCCACAGCACAATCTCACTCATCGACGACGATCTATGCCTTCCAGTTAAAGGCATCCTCTTGACAACTTGCAACACAATCGCCACTTGCTAGAATGACTCTTGCAGAAAGCAACGTGACCAATTACCACTGCGATCGCTTGTCACTCATTCTGCCTCAGTTCTAGTAACGGTGACGTATGCAAGCCTCAGTCGTCTACACTCTTGCTCCCCGGCGTGAGAGACCACAGCCTAAAATACAAACATCCATTCTCAGTCATGGATTCCACAGCTAATCCTTATCTCCGTGTGCATGTCACTCTCAGCACTAACCTCCCCGGCGTATACAACTCTTCTGCAGTCTTTAACACCAATCAATTCATTCACGGATGTAGAATACAAGAAACAACTTCAGAAGTAATCACGACGAAAATTTTAACAAAATCACGCAATAACAACAAGATACGAAAACAACAAGTAAACACAATGAATCCAAAAACACCAATTGATATGACACACCACACATATATACAAACAGTACAAACGAACTCGCCGATCATGTCTTGGTGGAATTCCTTTGAAGAATCGCAGGACTTACACCAGTACGCCTACAACCCTTCTCAGGTTGACGATTGTAAGTTGTGGAATGTCCGGACACAAACAAGATTAACCAACAATTACAATAATTGGAACTCACACAACTATTTAACACAAACATATGTACAATCAACACATCAAATGTTGTGGATTCTGGCACGACAAACTACCCTTGAAGAACTGTAGGACTTACAGCAGTACGCCTACAACCCTTTTCAGGTTGACGCCCTAGGTTTGAAAATCGTTGCAGAGTTCATTTGCTGACTTCCTTCTATCATCTATATCCTCAAATCTGAACGGTGACACGCCCATGTGATTGTATCGTGGAATGTAGATGACTAACAAACACACAACGTATCTGACCAACCAAGCTTAGGCACATAGAAATTTACACCAAAGGTAATAAGATTCAAATAGTAACGTGAAACTAGAAATGCCTTTATTCGCGGAAGCCAGTTTGACAATTATCTTCTGGTACACATTTGGCTTATCCTCAATAAACTGACCAATATCTTTCGTATTTTCAAATGCACCGATACTAGCATAGTCATAGCACAAGACACTTGAGTTCGTTGACGTATCTCTCTCTATAGATGACAACGAAAACGACGACTGATTGACGCAAGTTGATGAAATTAGCGGTGCATCAGAAGCTGTCGCTATTAAACATTAAGAAGGTTGTCTAACCATAGGATTACCACCATTGCTATCCTCTATGATTAGCTCCTGTTCAGTATTAACATCTGTTGATACCACCGCATCTGCCTTTATTTCTACTCCACGTTCAAGCTGTACAGAATCGTTGTTCGATTCAGTAGTAGAAGGCATTTCGCTCGTCTCATAATGGTCAACCGTAGACAAAAGTGTACTGTCATGATCAATATCACAAATATTCACTTTACAGTCGTCTATCTGGTCGACTTCATAATTTTCAAACTCTTTAACAATAGAAGTAGGCAATTTCGGGTTCTTCCTCACAAATCCTTACAGGTTTTGAACCCCCACTCTGACTAGTAATAAATCGTGTCAATGTAGTTGAAGATTGAACGATCAATTCTTGGTTGTTTGCTCAAAACCAACTTCCCCAATTTTCGCGGAGGCATCAATACGACAGTCATCGTCTCATCGGTCGCTGTTCAGAAAGAAGTCAGCAATAAACCGTCAGAAGTAATATTGTGATTTATTATTGTAATATTTGTTCACAGACCTTAGTTCAATTATTATTTTTATATGTTGGTGTAACAATAAAGAAATATCAAGTGGCCAATCGTTGTTTTGGTTTTTTCGTCCGTTATAAC